CGTCATCATGTCATCGTCGCTGTCGTCGCCTTTCCTCACCAGCATCATCGCCATCATCATCGCCAGCATTATCGTCACCAACGTCGTTACCGTCACCATCAGCTTCGTTGTCGTCGGAATTGACCCTACAACCAGTGTCATCACCATCGACATCAGCTTGAACACCACTGTCATTGTCATCATCGTTGGCGTCGCGGTCGTCACCATAGCTAACACAAATTCGCGGCCTGCAAGACGGACTTGTCTGCGCGGTTGAGCTCCACGCGCCCGTGCACTCGTTGAGATCATGGCCAGACGAGATTTGCCAACAAGTTGCGGGTGGAAGGGTGATATGTTTGCGCGAGCATGGGAGGTGGTCACACGCGCATGTTGCGCGGGTAATGAACTGTACCCTATGGGTTGCGCCACATACATTTCCCCCCACACATAGCCTTCATCAAATACTTTACACCAAATCGATGCCTTGCCATGCGAATTAAAAAAAGATTGGGAAAAAAACGAAGCCGGGTGATCCGCCTCTCTCCGCACAATGCGTTGTTTCATATCTGTTCCGCAGGGCCGCCCATCTGAACTTAAAGCAGATCACACTATGACAGCAGAAGGGTAATCGGTTCCCCTTTACGTCTTTGTCAGGTCATACCATGCGGTGAACACGCGTGATCGAGCAGCTGCACTGTGTCAGGATACGTGTGAAATAATGTCATGCAGGAACATGCAGGCGCCCCTGCGCGAGCATGCTAAACTCATTGCAAAACCAATGGTTCTTGAACAAACCCGATACCGCTATGTATACTCACACACACACATGCAACAACCGTTCGAACGTGCTTTGCAAATTAAGAGTGCCAAATGTGTACTCGCGCGCGCACCCACGTTGTTTGCCCAGTCCGTGGTTCTGTTCACATCACACGCTCCATCGACCACTACATCCAATGCCGTCTGTCTGAAAGTATGATACCCAAACGCTGGCGGAGAAGACAAATTGACTGTATGTTTGCTTCGGGGCGAGGCTTCACTGGGCACACGCCGTCACGGTCTAGACGGCTAGCGGGCCTTTGAAGGATTTCGGCGTTCTGGCCTTGTCGGCTCTCCGCGCTGTAACGCTGGAAACGCGCATGTTTTTGGAAGGACTTCGACGCGCGCGCGCGCGGAGACGCGCGCGGGTGTCCCACGGTGCATTACTTGACTGGGTTGGCGGGTTAGTGCTCGTCGTTGAACGCTTTGGACGTGCGCTCGCGCGTGGCCGGCATGATCTTATCTCGCGGAATGATCGAACAGCAATGCCTTGTCCTTTCCACCTGATTCTCCTCCTCCTCCTCCTCCTCCTCCTCCTCCTCCTCCTCCTCCTTGTTCCGCGGCGGACCCGGAGGGACCACTTTGAGTGAACTTATATTACATGGTCTTTCGGCCAATCCCGCCAACGTGCCTGGGGTGTGGGTATGAAGCCTACTAGATATTCGTTGGGATCTTGTGGAAGGCCACTGGGGGGGGCCTCTTCGAGGCAATTCGTACGCCTCTGGAGAGCTGTTTTGGGGCTTCTTGGGGGCATCTTTTGGGCCTCTTGGGGGCCTTGGAGCCTCTTGGGGGTCTCGAAGGGCCTGATGGGCGCATCTTGGGGCCTCCTGAGGGCATTTCGGGGCAGAACGCTCGGATTTTCTGTTCGTGCTCCCTCTCTTGGGTCGCTTTTGAGACCATCTTGGGGCCCTCCCGGGCCGTTTTGGGCGCCTCTTGGGAAGTCTTGGGGCACTCTTTTGGGTGGTTTGGGGGCCCTCTTGGAGGCCTATTGGGCCGTCTCTGAAGTGTTGCGCACTCGCGCACCGCCTCATCGTCCTCGTCGGCACGGTCGTTACCATGATCGCCAGTGCCACCTCTGCCACCATCATCACCATCGCCTTCATCACCATCACCATTGTCGTCGTCATCGTCCCTACCGTCGCCATCAATCGGCCGGCCCGGCCCCCTTGCGGGGCCATGAGGCTGCGAAGATTAGGCTTGCAGCTCCCTGTACCAGTTGCAGTTTCCAGTTTCCACTGTTACAGTCCTGTTTTCTGCTTCCTTAGTGTTACTTGTTGCTGAACGCGCGAGGGGGGGAAGCCGAAAAACGTCCTGGCTAGCGTCCCCGAATCGCGTTGTCTAAATTCCCGCGTGGTCGTGGGACAAATAAAAATACATGATACTCGCGTCCCCGAAGCCATAATCTCCAGTAAATTACGCCATATTCGCGACCCCGACGCCATGAACCCACGTAAGTTGAACAAGACTCGCGTCCCCGAAGCCAGAATCCCTCGCAAATGATGCATCCTTAGCACCCCCGAAACCACCAACCCTCCCAAATTCCACAACGTTCGCGCCCCCGAGGCCATAAACCCACGCAGATGACGAAACACTTGCGCCCCCGAAGCCATAAACCCTCAGACGTTACAAAATGTTCACGTCCCCGGGGCCATAAACCCTGGTAAATTACACCGTGCTTGCGCCTCCGAGGCCACAGACCTTCGCAAATCATGCGATCGTCGCGTCCCCGAGGCCATAAGCCCTCGTAAAGTATACAATGCTTGCGCCCCCGAGGCCATACACCCTCGTAAAGTACACAATAGTTGCGTCCCCGAGGCCAGGAAACCTCGTAAGTTATGCCAGATTCGCGACCCCGAAACCAGAAACCATCGCAAATGACCTCATATTCGCGCCACCGAAACCATACACCCTCGTAAAGTAAGATTGGCCCTCGCGTGAAGTCCCGACACTGCTTCACGTCAGCGTCCAGACGTCCCAACACAGCTCTGGCAAGTCCCATTCCAAGAGAGGGAGGCAGGCGGCATGGGGGCGAAGCCCTTACGGATAGCATCGTCGTCATCGTCATCAACATTGTCGTCTCTATCTTCTTCTTCTTCTCTACAGCTTAGAGCTCCTACAGAGCTGGCTGGTACTAGAATAACTCATGCGCTACCCACTCAGTTGCCCTATCCAATGCAGTCATCTCTGCTTGGAACAAGGGCACGTCCACTGGCATATACACCCCTTCTGCGTACCACGGCTGCTACGAAGTCGTCCCCTCGAAGTTGCCGAAAATCCCAACGAGCTAACGTCGTCATCAACATTGTCTGGGACGCACAGAAACATACTAATACTATGCGTCCTCCTTGGAGGCGCGCGTCCGACCCGAACATATAGTATCTCGAGCGGTGTGGCCAGAGAGCGCCCGCCGCGACGCATATACTACAAGATTTCTCGGTGCGCGCGTCGCACCTGGAGGGCGACGCACATATAGTACAGGTATGTTGGGGCGACGCCGATTGTCGTCTCTCTCGTCGCGAGCGCCATCATCGTTATCCGCAGCGCTCGCCTGCCCGAGCCACGAGTTTGCACGACAAGGGGTCCTCGCGACGCCACGCCAACGGAGTCTCGCCAACAGGTTGTGCCTGCCGGGGACCACAGACAGCACCGATACCGCTACACTTGCGTCGGGCCTGTCCCCCTACAAGGGGATCTTCGACGAAAAATTAAGATACCCCAAAAATAATCAAAAATAATCCAAAAATCGACTGGGGACTATGTTTTGAATATTTTTTGACCTGCAAGTGGGTGCAATTGACGGCTGCAGGTTCGTCAAAAGAAGTGCACCACATGGGCTGCATCACAAACGCTGACTGCAGCACACCAAGGCGCACCGCATCTACTGAAACGGACTGGTCGCACCGTGCACGGCCTGCGCAACAGACAGTGCACTTGAAAGTGCAAGAGCCCATTGGTTGGGGCACGCGCTGACAGACAGCCCATTATGCAGATGACGTCACGGTCAAGAAACCGAATGGTTGTTCAACATGCTTAATCGAGATGAACCCAAAAAAATAGAATATATTAAACATGTTTGATCTTGAAGTTTGAGCTAATTTACTGTTGTCCGCGTGGACCCCAAAGAGTGGATTAGTTCGCCTTAGGTGTGAAACCTCTGTGGTGCAATCTGCTTGGTGCGATGGCGGTGGTGGAATTGATGGTGCGCAAGATAGGGCAACATCTAAGTGCAGTCTTTGTGGTGTAACATTCGGCCTGCATTCCCTGAGGGATGGTTCGTTTGATGCATTTGAAGCCGACAACTCCAATGCTCGAACCAACATCCCAACCATCCATCATCCACCCGTCACACATTGGCAATTATTGGAAGACCCCACCACACGAAAGCCCAGCAGACCCAGCCAACGCACGGGGCGGCGACGATGCGGCGACGGGTGGCACCAGGCGACAACCCGGGAGGAAGATTAAAAGAACATGGTCCCGTAGTGCACGCACGGGTTGGACAACAGAAAACCTGTGGTGGTTCAAGTATTCCATGTGTGGGGGACTCGAAACGTGTTTGAATTCACTCGAAGCGATGAACTTCAAAGACGTTGCGCCCACTTGTTCAACGCTAGTGTAACTATTCCATTCGGTCGAGGCGTGCTCGTTCATCTCAATGGCCTATCAAGTTGAGGGGGCACATTGGTACTCGGGTATGGGTCTTCAAACCTGTTAACGTAAGTGCTGTGATTGTTCACGTGCACATTGGTGCCTGAATTACACTGCGAGCCGCAATGTCGATTGATACATGTGTCGGACATACTCCCAACGTACTGTATCACATCCCCCTGATCGACATGTATGAGCCGGGGCACATAAGTGCATACTTCGTATCATGCTTATGATCATATAAAAAGACATGCCGATGCAAACGTGTACGAGAATACGTATGAGCATGAGCAAGACTATCTCTAGGCATGTAGATCCAGGCGTAAAGAAAGCAGATATCTGCTGCCGCCCCCTTTTTATCGCAGAAATCCGATGCGCGCGTGCATGGCAGGTTCGCGTCGCGGCCCCTGTCGCACGATGGCGTGGACGCGGTGGCAACGCACCGCGTGGCTGTGCCTGCCCGAGCGGCGAGGGGTGTGCACCAGCGGCGCGAAGCCGCGCAGCGACACCCCGCTCGGGACTCGGCGAACTCGCCCTACGCCCCACGGGAAGACGGGTCAGGACGGCAGGATCGGCGGCAGTAGCAGGCTGAGGAAGAGGAGGAGGGGAGGGTGAGGAGGAGCAGCGGCAGCTCTTGTAGCGGCAGCAGGGGTTGGGGAGGATGAGCAGGAGAAGGGGCGGCAGCAGCAGCGGCAGGAGGAATGGCTTGAAGTGAGACTGGGAGGACAGCAGCCGCAGCAAGGGGTGGATGGAATGATGAAGGGCAGCAGCAGCAGCAAGGAGAGGGACAGGAGGAGTTAAAGCAGGACGGGGACGGCGACGACGAGGAACGCAAGAAAGAGCACGGGGGGAGAGAAGAAGAAGGACTACGACGAGGAGGCAGCAGCAGCAGGGAGTGCAGAAGGAGAGGAGGACGGCGACGGAGAGATAAACAGGTGCAGAAGAGGAGGAGGATGAGGAGGAGGAGGAGAGGGAGGAGGAGGAGGAGGGAGGAGGAGGAGGAGGAGAGGAGGAGGAGGAGGAGGAGGAGGAGGAGGAGGAGAGGGGAGGAAGGAGGGGGAGGAAGAGGAGGAGGAGAGGCGGAGGAGGTGAAGGACTGGGAAGAGGAGGCCGCAGACGGAGGAGGAGGAGGAGGAGGAGGAGGAGGAGGAGGAGGAGGAGGGGGGGGAGGAGGGGGAAAGGAGGAGGAGGAGGAGGAGGGAGGAGGAGGAGGGAGGACTGGGAAGAGGAGGCCGCAGACGAGGAGCGTCGTTCCACAAAGGAGCCCCGCTCCGCGAGCGCCTGCTGGCCCACAGGGAGGCAGTGCCGGCAGGAGACTGCGGCGACGCGCCCAGTGCAGCTCTGACAACCGCCAGGCAAGCGGGGCTGAGGAGGAGGAGGAGGAGGAGGAGGAGGAGGAGGGGGAGGAGAAGGAGGAGGAGGAGGAGGAAGAGGAGGAGAAGGAGGAGAAGGAGGAGGAGGATGGGAGGAGGAGGAGGAGGAGGAGGAGGAGGAGGAGGAGGAGGAGGAGGAGGAGGAGGAGGAGGAGCCAGTGTCAGAGGTGATCACGGACAGCGCAGCCGCGGAAGGCAAAGGAGGCCAGCGCGCATGGAGGGCACGGCGCGCAGTTCCTGGCGCCCGCGAGGGCGCCGCCACACAGCCTCCATCAAGCGCTGGGGAGGGAGGGGGACTGGGCAAGTCACTCTGCGCCTCGAAGCCTGCGAGGTCACGAACGCAGCCTTGAGCGAGCTCGCGGATTCGTCGACGAGGATTTCCCGCGTGCTCCTGAGGTGTTTCAGTCTTGCCAAGCGCTTCACAAAGAATCAAATTCTAGTCAACTGGACTTTATGGCGCGTCGGAGGGAAAGTACTTGAGGTACTACGTGCGCTCGCTTGGGTTCCTGCTTGGGTTCCCTCCGCGGCTGCTCAAGGCCGCGGGCGGCGCGATCGCGATCGCATCTGCGCGCGAGGGGGGGAACGCTCCGACGTCTCGGCGGCGCCCGCGGAGGCGAGGGTGGAGAGCACGAGGGTCAGGCCTGAAAAGGTGGCGAGCACGAGGGTGGGGAGCACAAGGTCGGCGATGGGAGCGGGGGGTGGGGGAGCAGGAAGAGAAAGAAGAGAAATGCAGATCGACACCTTGGTCGGAAAAGATTGGAATCTGCCACTCTCTGTTTGCCCCCGTCTGGTAGTACAATCCGTAAAAATAATCATGCTTGTTGCTCCTCCGACTCCTCGGGCAAATCAGCCGTCCACGATCGAATGAACGATCACGATCGAATGAACGATTACAATCGGCCATCGAACGATCGAACGATCAACGAACGAACGTCCATTACCCGTTACCCCCTGGGGGACCATCGGGTCGACGACTCCTCGAGAGGGATTGGAAAGGCTTCGGGCTGCGCACAGACAGCCCCCTCAAGTAGTGCCAGCTGGCCTCAACAGGCGAGTGGCTTACCGTTGCTTGGCGTTGCTTCGCGTTGCTTGGCGTTGCTTGGCGTTACTTGGTGTTGCTTGGCGTTGCGTGTCATTGCTTGGCATTGCGTGGCATTGCTCGACACTGCTTGGCATTGCTCGACACTGTTTAGCATTGGTTGGCACTACTTGGCATTGCGCTGCGTTGCTCTGCACTGCGTGGCACTGCTTGGCAACCCTGGGCTGCCCCGAGCAACGCCAGGGGCCGCCCGGGCAACCCCAGGCAACCCCGAGCAACGCCTCTGACGAAGGACCCCGCACCCACCAGCTTTCTCGCCCCCATAGGTAAACCAAAACTTGGCAATGGTAATAATAATAGTAATAATAACAATGATAATAATGATGATTATAATAAGAATAAGAATAAGAATAATGATAATGATAATGATGCTAATAATAATAACAATAATAAAAGATAATGATAATAATACTAAAAATAATAAGAAAAAGAATAAGAATAACAATAATAATAAGAAGAAGAATAATAATACGAATAATAATAATAATAACAACAATAATAATAAGAAGAATAAGAAGAAGAAGAAGAAGAAGGATGGAGGAGAGGAGAAGGAACAGGAGGAGGAGGAGGAGGAGGAGGAGGAAGAGGAGAGAGGGGGAGGGGGAGAGGGAAGGAGGGAGGGAGGGGGAGAAGCAGAAGAATCACGGATCAGCAGGATCGGCAGCTGGAGGAGGGAGCAGGAGGGCAGATGAGGCGGCCTGAGACTTGACGCGCCCCGGGGAGCACCACGAGCGAACGACAGCAGAGAGCCAGGGGACGTCCACTGACCCCCTCGCCGATCCTGGCCCAGCCGATGAGGCTCGGCGAGGTGGCCTGTGGACGCCACCCAAGAACAACAAGAAAAGAGGTCGGAGGCGACGACAGGGCCGAATAGCCCAGGGGGGGGGCAATACCTGTACCCAGGGACGCCGATGGTCCATGTCTTCGCCATGGCTCCCAGAGGGACACCTGTATGGCTCCCACCGGCGCCATCCCCCCCCGTCGTCGCGCCTCCGACGAGGAGGCGCCTCGGCCGCCACCTGCGGCTGGGGGGGGCCTGGCAGCGGGCCTGCGCGCCCCTCCGCCCCCCTCAGAAGTGCGGCACCACGACGTCGTAGAGGATGCCGCAGGTGCCGCAGACCCACACCTGGGGAGGGGGCGCCGACATTGGCGCGCCGACTGGCACCGCTCCCGCCCTCGAGAGGCCACCTCCGCGCACCACCGCGGCCGCCGGTCTGCTCGGGACCGGCGCCGCGGCAGCAGGCAGGCGGCGAAGCCAGGATCGGGATCGGGACAAGGTCGGGGTACGTCGGGGATCTCCGAGATGCGGCCGTTCTGGAGGGTGCGTCGGGCGTCGCGGCCGTCTCAGAGCGTTCGGGAGAGCCCTGGAGCGAGTTGCATCCCGAGCCCAGGCCTGCCTGGGCAGGTGCTGCACGGCTGCCAAGGACCAGGCCAGGAGGGTCTGGCACCCAGACATCCGACGGTCGAGGTCTTCGTTGAACCCCGACGTCTGTCGCTGGTATTCTGGCATCTGGGCTCCGGGGCCGTTGCCAGGCCCCCGGGGCCATCAGACACGAACGGGGGACCAAAAGCTATCCCTGGGGCATGGGTCGGGGGCCGCGGATTGAAAATTAACCTGGCGAAGGGCCCAACCATACTCAGTTGTGAGTACCGTCGCTGTGAACATCGCCTTCGGTGGATCGCCTCAAGGGGCCTTGTGTGGAGCTGCCTGTGGGGCCACCAGACATGGGAAGCATGTTAGGGGATGGGTGGGGGGGACACATGCGAATGGTAGCACCGGGACGTTGGGTGGAGCTCCCTGTGGGGCCATGAACCGTGTGAGGGGTGTGCCGAACTGAGTGGGGGGCCGCATGCACACGTCGCCACCGGAGGAGCCTTCGGTGGAGCTCCCCACGGGAGCACTAAACGTTTCGGTGGCGGGGACCCATGCGGAGAGTGCCGCTTAAGCCTTCGATGAAGCTCCTTGTGAGACCACAAAACGTGCGAGGGGTGTGCCGAAATGGGTGGCGGGGACGCATGCGGACAGCACCACGTGGGGCCTTGGGTGGAGCTCCCTATGGGGACACGAAACGTGTGAGGGGTATGCCGAAATGGGTTGCGGGGACGCATGCGAACGGCGCCATTGGCGCCTTGAGTGGAGCTGCCAGTGGGGCCACGAAACACGCGAGAGGCGTGCCGAAATGAGTGGCGGGGACGCATGCGGGCGGCACCATTGGGTCACTGGGTGGAGCTCCCTATGGGGCCACGAACCGTGTGAGAGGTGCGCCGACATGATTGGCGGGAACGCATGCGAACGGCAGCATTGTGGCATTCGGTGGAGCTTCCTGTGGGGCCCCGAAATGTGTGAGGGGTGTGCCGAAGAAATGGGTGGCGGGGGCGCATGCGGACTGCACCATTGGGGCCTTCGGTGAAGCTCCGTGTGCAGCCACGAAACGTGCGAGGGATGTGCAGTACTGGGTGGAGGGGACGCATGCGGGCTGCACAATTTGGGCCTTGAGTGGAGCTGCCTACGGGGCCACGTGAGCCGAAATTGGTGGCGGGGACGCATGCGGGCGGCACCATTTGGGTCATGGGTGGAGCTCCCCGTGGGGCCCCGAGACGTGTGAGGGGTGTGCCGAAGAAATGGGTGGCGGGGGCGCACGCGGGCGGCACTATTTGGGCCTTGGGTGGAGTTCCCTGTGAGGCCCCGAAATGTGTGAGGAGTGTGCCGAAGTGGGTGGCGGCGACGCATGCGGGTGGCAGCATTTGGGCCTTGGGTGGAGCCCTCTTGTGGGGCCACGAAACGTGCGAGGGGTATGCCGAAGTAGGTGGCGGGGACGCATGCGGGCGGTACCATTGCCTTGGGTGGAGCTCCTCATGGGGCCACGAAGCGTGTCAGAGGTGTACCGAAACAGAGACATGCGGATGGCAGAGACAAGGATGGAAGGAGGGAGGAGGGGGAGGGGGAGGGGGAGGAGGAGGAGGAGAGGAGGAGAGGAGGAGGAGGAGGAGGAGAGGAGGAGGAGGAGGAGAGGCGGGAAGAGTGAGGCGCGGGGCGCCGTCTCTTCGAAACGAGGACCCAACACCACGAGCTGGTCGAGAAAAAACGTCGTCGGATGTCTTGGCACGCACCAGCACCAGGCCCAGGAGGGGCCGGGCCAGGAGCGGTGCCAGCGCGCACAGCTGGCAGCTCCCGGGCCACCCTGTCCGGGCCGTTGTCGCAGCCCGAGCCCTGCTGGGGGTCCTCGTCGTAGCCGCACACGCTCTCCTCCGGGCGGGCCCCAGGGCATCCCCTGAGCGCCGATCCCCGAGCATACCGTACTTCGCTCGAAGGGTTCGTTCCGTCCTGGTCCCTCCCCCCGCCGTGCGACGACCTCAGTAGGAGGCCACATGCGAACCCTACCCCTAACCCCCACGATTTCTGAGGGGGAGGGTGGGGTTCACTCCACTCGGGAGCTCCCGAGCGAAGTGAACCCCACCCTCCCCCTCAGAAATCGTGGGGGGTAGGGGTAGGGTTCGCATGTGACCCCCTACTCAGCTCACACGTGTAAACTTCGACCTGCGGGCACATCCGCCACGACTGCCTCGGGCGATGTCCCCTTCGGCCTCACCACACGAACGGCAAGCGGGAGACAGGAGAACGCAAAAACACGAAGGCCGGGCAAAACAATCACCACTTCCAGAAAAAAAGAGGCCACGCCTTCGACGCGACACTCCCCGACGATGCGGGTGCGCCGTCGCTGCACGCTGCGCGACGCTGAAGCGCACTGGCCGCCACGACGAAAGCCTCATCCCCCAGCTGCTGCTCCGAGCCCTCGGGGAGAGGCCTGCATTGCGTCAACGCCGCCGCCCTGCCGTGCCAGCCGCCCGTCTTTGCAGAGAGCGGCAGCACTGGCCACGGCACGCTCCTCCGGATCGTCTACGATCACGTCGAGTACCCCAGATTTCGTAATAAAGGGAGGGGGGTCTCATTTCGGGGGGGGTCTCTTCCAGGCTATATTGGAGTGCCTGGGGGGGTCTGGGGACGATATTTTGGAGGGTTCTCCCACGGGGGAGGTCTGAAATGGCTTGTCTTTGGAGGTCCCTTTTATCACGAAATCTGGAGTATCCAGTCCCGCCACGCTGCTGCCCCACATCGCCCAGGAGTATGCGCCCGACTCCGATCATCATAACCCCACGAGCGGAGCGCGAGCGCCTGGCCAGGGCAGCCTGAGACCTCCAGCTCTCCGCCGCAGCTGCCACAGGGCCCTGGCGGGTCTGGCGTGGTCCCGCGAGCGCCTGAGTTGGCGCAGTGCCGCGCCCAGCGATTTCGATAGTTTTCTCCACCACCGACGGGCGGAATGGAACGGCGCCACCTCCTCCTCCTCCTCCTCCTCCTCCTCCTCCTCCTCCTCCTCCTCCTCCTCCTCCTCCTCCTCCTCCTCCAGTCCTTTTCCCCAAGGAAATTCCTCTGTGTCGCATCCCGAGGCCCGTCGAATGGGCAGGCAGGGCGTTTCGCCTGCACCTGGTGCTGAGCGTGGTGGCCGCTCTCCCTGTGGACGCGCTCCCACACGACCTGCAGCGCCGTGCCGCGCGCCATCGCGCCGCCGCCCCCGACTCGCCTGATGCAGCGGCAAATATCGGGCGGGCATGCGCAGAAACCCTTGCACGACATGTTGCAGCAGCGCGTCCGAAGAGGCCAGGCCCCAGCAGAGCAGCGCCTGGGCGGTGGCGCGGTCGTCCTCGTCACTGAGCTGTGGCGCGGCCACGCGAGCTGCCAGTTGGCGATGCGCGGCTTGCGGCAATAACGAAGCCCCGCCTTGCCCTCTATGTTGACTTCCAGACGGACCGCGCGATGTACAGACGCGGACGTCGCGCGAGCGTCGCCCGCGGCTTCGAGGGCCGCTCCACAACGGGAGGTCGTCGTCGATGCCGGACGCCGCCGCCACAGCGCTGAGCCGAGGAGGCGGCAAAGCGTCGCGCGCGGCGCGCCAGCTGGCGACAGCAAGGAAGCCGCTCTCCCATGGGCTGCCCAAGGCGAGGAGCACCCTGCGCTCCAGGGCCTCTGCGCGGCCCTGCCCCCCAGGAGCCGAGCCGGGCCGACGGGCGACATCCGCCAGGCTGCGAAGGCCCTGCCACGCTCAGGTCGGGCATGTCCTCCTACAGGCGGACTTTGGAAGAAACAACAGAATAGTCCAAACAGCGAACCAACAATAGTTAAACAAAAACTGCTTTCATCATATATATATATATATATATATACTCATTTATTTTTGAATCTGAAGAAAACAAAAAAACTTACTACGTTTAGACTCGTCTTCGACATTCCTCCTGTAGAAGGACACGCCCGACTCGATGCCAGGGGCAGCCAGGACCGCAGCCTGCCGGGCGTTGGCATAACTGGGCTTAGCGGGGCCTGGTTGAGTGACGTGCACTGGGGGACGCCCCCCTCGACTACACGCAAGAGTGACCCTGGGTAAGAGTGACCTTTGGTGCGCGGCTTTTTGGCGGCCGCGGGGGGACTAAACACGAGCGCGCAAAACGCTACTACCGCATCGCGTTCGGCGATCGAGGGACCCCGTTGGGCCCGCATCAAAGGTCACTCCAGCGAAAGGCCACTCTTACGTGTTGTAGCCGACCCCCCCGCCCCGTTCCACTGACCGGAACTGCCGCCACCCGAAAAACACCAACTAGGGCAGACCTGGTCTAGTGACCCTGGTCCATTTGGGGGCTCCGGGGCCCCACTACCAACCGGGGCCCCTCGCCTGGGGTCCTGGCTACTCCAGATTTCGTGATAAAAGGGAGGGGGTCTGGACCCTCCAAGACAAGCCATTACAGACCTCCCCCGTGGGAGAACCCTCCAAAACATCGTCCCCAGACCCCCCCAGGCCCTCCAAGATAGCCTGGAAGAGACCCCCCCCCGAAATGAGACCCCCCTCCCTTTATTACGAAATCTGGAGTGACTACCCGAGCCTGGCGCCGTCGTGGGCCGCCGCTGCCGCTGGCGCGCTGGCCGGCGGCATCGAATGCCAGAGCTGCGTCGGCCCGCCGGTCCGGGCGGGCTCGCGCAAGCCGCACGCGGCGAGGCGGCGGGCCCTCGCGGCGAGGCCCCGTGGCCCGAGCGGCGGGCTCGCGCGGCGATGCCACCTCGGGCACTGCCGCAGGCGAAGCCTGGCTCTCTGGGCACTCCTCCTCCTCCTCCTCCTCCTCCTCCTCCTCCTCCTCCTCCTCCTCCTCCTCCTCCTCCTCCTCCTCCTCCTTGTCCTCCTCCTCCTCCCTCGGCGGCGCGCAGGGGGCGCGTTTGCGAGGGCGCCTCTGCGCGTTCCTCGTTGCTTCGAGGATTCCTGCGGCGGCCAACCGTGTTGCCGGAGTGTCCCGCTGCAGGGGTCGGTCGGCCGGTCGCGCCAGTGAGCCCCGCTCCGCAAAGGAAGACGCTTGGGCACGCAAAACAAAAATATAATGTGTCGGGGCAGGCTTGTTAGGAGGAGGCTCTTTCTTCGAAGCCGCGCGCCTTGCATGTGCGCCCTCTAAGAGGCAGGGGTGCTTCCGAGAAGCCTTCCCCCCTACCCCCTATTACCCCCCTCTGCGCGCCGCCAACCAACTCCAGGCCCCTAAGCTCCCTGGGCACAGCCTGCGCCGTCCAGAGAGGCTCGGGCGCCGAGTCCGCTGGCAGCAGCACGAGGGTGTCGCAGTGCCGGCCAGGTGCCCTCGCGGCTGCGGCCGCCTCCCTGCACTCGCAGGGGACGGCCTGGCGGCGCAGACGTCGAGGAGCAGTGCGAGAGGGTCTCCTTTGCCCACCCTGCTGCTGGCCTCGGGGCAGCTGCGATAGCCGCGGACGTCACAGTACAGTCGGGGCCCTGAAGAAGGAACCCTTTTCGTTGGGGAGGGGCTCCGTGTTCCCGCAGCTTGCCTTGGATTTTCTTAGGATTTCGATACTAAATCGAAGTTCAACTTCTGGAAATTAGGGGCCTCGTTCCTTATTTAGGGTTCCTTAGGTCAACGCCTCGACTGTAGAGGGGGAGGGAACGTCGGCCGAGTGGTTCCGTGCAGCGGAGGAGCTCGACGGCGGGGGTGGCCGAGCTCGCAAAAAGCTGGCAGCGCGGACCGCCGAGCCGCGGGCAGCCTCCGTGCCTTGAGCCACCCCGCGCCGAGTGCCGGGCCTGTGCGCGCCATGCGGCTCCGCGCCCGCGGCCGTCTCGCGTGCGAACGCCGTCCTCTTCGGCCGCCTCCTTCGCCGCCTCGACTGTTTTCTCACTCCTCCTTCTCTTCCTCGCCCTCTCCCCTCCTTTTTGTTCTTCTCGCCCGCCGCCTCCGCCTCCTCCTCCTCCTCCTCCTCCTCCTCCTCCTCCTCCTCCTCCTCCTCCTCCTCCTCCTCCTCCTCCTCCTCCTCCTCCTCCTCCTCCTCCTCCTCCTCCTCCTTTTCCCTTCTCCCCTTCTCCTCCTCTTCCTCCTCCTCGCCCCCCAAGCTGCTGTGCGACCCCTGCCTCCAGGGTCAGCGCCCGGCTGTTCGAGCAGCGCATACCCCCCGGGGGCTGCGATGGGCCTGGCACCCTTGGCGAGGTGAAGTGCACGACTCCCTCGGCAGCGAGCGAGGGGGGGAAGGAGAAGGAGAAGGCCTTCTCAGAAGGCGGCGGGGCTTTCTCAGAGGGCCCCGGCCTTCTGGGAGGTTTTCTGCGTCTTCGGGGGGAGGCTTGCAAAACTTCTCCGAAGGCCGGGGGACTTCCGAGCCTTCTGAGAAGGCCCGCCCCTTCTCTCTTGGCCCCCGGGCTCGCCGCCGAACAACGGCGCACGGCAGGTTCGTATCGTGACGACCCCGGAACTGGTTTCTGACACCGCGGGGATCGTTCAACCTTGAACGACCAGCCGTTTCCGAAACGTCCGATCTTTCAACATCGACCGATTCTTGGTCGCCAGCGGCGTTCGAAATTGAGCGCCGGCGGCGGGGTCGCCGCTGGCCGACACGACGCGAACCTACCGTTAAGCTGGGAGAGTGTCGCCGCTGCTGTGGCGCAGCCTGGAACATGTGTTGGGAATTGAACCCATTCTTTCGCTCCAGAGCGTTCCGGAGCGCTCTCAGAGCGTTCCAGAACGCTCTGGGAGCAGCCGCGGCGCCCAATACATCCTCCAAACCCGCCGATTATCAGAGATTTCGAGTTATCCCAATCCGATTTTGTCCCGATCTTCGCGTCGTTCTTTCCGTACCCATTTCGTTCGTGCCGGGCACACGGCCGAGGACGACGCGGCTGGCAACCGCAGAGGTTGCCGTCCAGTGCTCGGACCGGCGCCCCC